GGGTTTGGAGACCCACAGGCTTCTATTGGAGCCTGTGGACAATCAAGTTTGTTCCATGTTCTTTTGTAGAGCTGTAGGATTAGAGCAACATTCCTTGCGTGTCTAAATGAAGGCTCATCACCTTCTCTTTCTTTTGGCTTATCACTCCTTTTATGACAAGATCTTGGCATGAAAACCTTTTTGCTACCACACAAAGGTTTGGGTTTTGGTTTGTTTGTTGTTGGTTTTTGTTTTGGTTTGTTGATTTTTTATTTTTTTTTTTTTGTAAGAGGTTGTTATTACCCAATTGATCAATACATAATTTTAAGCTCATTTCTGGGAGGTCTTTGGATGATGCTTGGGATCAGCATTAATTTCCGTCTCCTGGCCAGTCACAGTGCTACTTTGAAATAACACTGATTCAACACAGGCTAAAAAGACAGCAGATTTTTGGATGAAAGTCAAAGGTTTCTGAGTTCTCTAGGCCTGGGAATTACTTGGGATTGCGTTTTTGGAGATAGAGCTGTTTCGGGCTCCCACAACCAAGACTGATGCTAGATCACAAAAGCACATCACAAGACAAGGTTCTTATCTCAAAGAACTGGTCAAGTAAGTAGGCAAGGCTGACAAAAGGTGGGTCTAGAAGCAAAAAGGATTCAACTAAGATGCCTTTACATAGGTATATGTCCAGTGCCACTGGAGATGCCTTAAGACAGCTCTAATATCCACATGGAGGTCAGAGTCTCACAGATAGGACTCAGAACTTTGCAGGAATCCTTTGCCTACCAGAACAGTGGGAGCTCAGGTGAGATATCTTGGGGCATCCTGAATGTCAGCATGTTCCTTCTGTGTGGATAGCTGGATCAGCCCTTACAATTCCCTTATGCCTCCCAAAAGTTCATTAGGGTAGACACCTAAATTTAGGGCTTTTGTTAGATTCACTCTTGAAATTACTGGTCCATGGTCACAAAGACAGCAGCCCCGGAGCCAGAAGTACCCTCCTTTGCACCCAGATGGGTGGAACATGGCAGATTTGGCTCTCCACTCACTGCAGGTCACCATCACCACACTCCTGTAGGAGAGACAAGGTTAATTTCTCCTTTACAGCTTTGGAAACTGAGGCACAGAGAGGCCGAATGGCTTTTCTGAGATCCCCCTCAGATTAATTAAACTGAAAAATCTATGCTGGTAAAATTGAAATATTGGGGTTTAAGACTGCAATTTACATGAGAGCTGACACAATCTCCCAGTCCTATGTACAGAGACAGGCTGCTCAGTCCCTCTGCCAAAAATCCCTTCCTGTAATCTCTTCTAAACCTTTCAAGATCTGTACAATTGGTTGCATGGTGCATAAGCGAGGCAATCAAGAAACAGAATCCCTGTGCCAGAAGCATCTTCAACTCCTTCACTGTGCCTCTTAAGGGCTTCTTTTTGCTCTAAATAGAAGTGAGTTTGGATTTTTTCATGCACAAGAGCTTTGTGGACTAGACCCAAATGTGCTGAAAAGTTTGGTGAGTGTTTTAGTGATGGCTGACTGTCACCTGTCAAACTACTAACAAACTACTGTATTTCCGCAGAAACAGTAATATATATAAGTAATAATATACAGTAAGTAATATAAGCCAGTAATTGCATATTAGCAAAACTAACTCAGCCATTCAGTTATTATTCTGGAAATTCCATTGCTGTAAAACCATCTATTATTGTATTCCCCATTGTTGAGAGAGTACTCATAAAACCAGCTGTCATTTATTTCTGTTGCAAGAAATTGAGAGCTGAGGTGGTTGTTAAAAAGCAAATTAGGGGAGATGACATGAACTTCCCTTGGCAATATATTCACAAAGATACTATTTCAGGAGTTTTGAGCTTGCTCTGGAGCACACTCTTGCCACGGAGCAAGGTAGTGCTTCATCTGCTGGAAGTGTTGACAATACGCTCCTTGAACTTTTCCTGACTCATAAATATGTTATCCCATAAGCAGCTTGTCTAGCAAGAGTGCATCTATGAGATGAGCTGAGTAAGAGATTTGTGGGTTTGTCATCTTCCTTCCTGTTCTGTGGCATCCTCAGCTCTGATATTTACCTCTCATTGAAGCCAGTTCCATACATAAGTTACTAGTAATTTTTATTATCTGCATGTAAAACACTACTATCTGAATATCTGTATCCATCAAACACTTGAGCAGTTTGATCCACTTGAATTGCGTAGGAAGTGGATTTGATGCTATTCAGGACTTCCAAGGGCCAGGTGTGTGTAAGTTTGAGAAGGTATGTGGCCACATCAAATCATTAAGTGTGTGCTGGTAGCTAAGGTTGTGATGGCTAGATATTCTTTGACACAGCTTGAAATTCCTGCTGCTATTATTTGGTGTTTTGTTGATTTGAACAGGTTGGTCATATCAATTGAAGGTGTATTCTGCTGCAGAAGGGATCAGGGAATCACAGAATGGTTTGGGTTGGAAGGGACCTTAAAGATAATCTTGTTCTTCTCCCTGGCAAAGAGAAAGCTTTAGGGTGACCTCCTTGTGGTCTTGCAGTGCCTGAAGGGAGCCCGCAGGAAAGATGGGGAGAGACTCTTGACAGGGGCCTGGAGTGACAGGAAAAGGGGCAATGGCTTCACACTGACAGTGAAGAAGTTTAGATTGAATATTAGGAAAAAATTGTTCCCTGTGAGGGTGCTGAGGCCCTGGCACAGGTTTCCCAGCTGTGGCTGCCCCATCCCTGTCAGTGTTCCAGGCCAGCTTGGATGGGGCTCTGAGCAACCTGGGCTAGTGGAAGGTGCCCCTGTCAATGGCAGGGGTTGGAACTGGCTGATCTTTAAGGTCCCTTCCAACCCAAACCATTCTGTGATTCTGTACTCTGCCAAGTCTCTGCAGAGGGGTTCAGAGCAGCACCATGATGTAGCCTTTGTACCCAGATGAGAGTGGCCCCCTGCTCCTTGCCTATCTCAAGCATTAAAACAGGTCTACCTTGGTAATTTGTGCTTCTCATACAGCTCTGGTTGGAAGCAACAGAAATCGTAGGACCAAAGAGCAAAAGGTCTAGAAGCCCCCAGGATTGTTTTACTGCTGGTATTTACTATTGATAATGATTTTGTGGCAACCACCTCTAAACTATGCTGGAGATAGCCAGATTTTTCATTAATTAAAATATTTTTTAATCTCTGATGGAGCTGTCTGAGCTCTCACACACTCTACATAACTGAGTTCCTTATTACTGTGCCTGTCATTCATGTCTCTGCAATGCCCTTTTTTCTTGCCAAGTCACTGAATGAAAGACCCAATTCACTTTGGCATTCAGAGTTCCCCTAATACTATTTCAGTGAAGGAGCAATATTGGGGGTTATTTTTCCACTGATTTCTTGCTGAAAGTTAAAGCCCTGAGGCATTTATGTGTGGTCCCTGCAGAGCTGCCTTCACAGTTGTGCTGACATTCATCAAAGGACACCCATTCTTGGAGTGTAAAAGCACCATGCTACTGAGGACATCTCTCCATCTGCCAGCCATGCTGGTGAGCATCTGCAACAGCACCACTGGGAATACTTCAGGAACAGGGAAGGTTTAAAAAAAATAAAATATGTTTCATGGTATTTAAAAAAAAAAAATTAAAAATTCCAGTTTATGTGAACAATGAAATAGTTTGCCCCAAATGAAATTTGTGGAAATTCACTGAAGGTGAATTATTTTTCACCAGGGTAAAAAATACTGGATGGCAAAGTTTTGTGTCTGTAATTCTGAGTTTTATGCATCAATATAAATAGCTCAACAAACATTACTTAAACTACCAGATAGATATAATAAAATATAGTCCCATCTACACGTGACAGGTAGAAAGGACTGGTCTGATTTATCACTTCCATTGATCCACACAGATAAATCACTGAACCTTTTTAAGGACTGGGGCACCAAAAATATAGAAATGAAACCTGCTGGTTCATGAGCAATTAGAAAACTTCAAGAAAAGATCTTAATAGGAAGCTATGCAAAAAAAACCCCAAAAAAACCCACAACAAAACCAAAAACAAAATCAAACCCAAAAAGCCCACAAAAAATGTGTATAAAGCTGACTATGACTGCCAAGTTCACTATCATTGTAAAGTTCACTACATTTGTCTCCCTGACCCTGAGTCAGCAAAAAACCCCAATGTGAGACCAAAAGTCGGTTAAAGCCTCTTCTAAACTGGATTGCCCTTCTAATCCCCTGACCCCCAAAATTCAAAACCTTCATCCTAAATCACCTTACCCAAAAATATTTATTTAAATTCTTTCATGTTTTCCATAAATCATAAAAACGCTGTAGCTGTCCAGCAGCATCAGCACGTGATGTGTTTCAGTGAAAAGCTCCCAGCACATGATATGCCTAATTCCTAAAGCTGCTTTGAGAAGCTAATCTTTGGTGCTTTGCCCTTCAGAAAGGTTTGTCGTGGATCTGGTGACAGACACAATGCAATGGTATGAGAAATGGTGCTACCCTCTATTTTATTTGGAGTCTGCTAATAATCTGTGCCCACTGCATCCACACCCCAGGTGACCCAGGGTGACCAAGCTGAACCCCATCACTTGGCTTTGGGCTGTTTCTTGGAGGTCCCTGGTCCTGGGGGTCCAGGGTCCTGGTTCTGCATTGGTACCCCCACATGGGACTGAATCACTGCAGCTCTCTGCAGTTTCCCTTGTAGCAGTTGCTGGGATCACTTGGTAACACTGTCACACCCTCCAAATATTTTCCTGTCTCATGGAAAAGGGTAGATGTGACTCCCCTGGGGACACAGGCTGGATATGAGGGGTTCACTCCAGCTGAGTTTTCACTGCCTTCTGTGGGTGAGTGTGACTGAGTGAGGAGTGAGTGAGTGAGTGAGTGAGTGAGTGAGTGAGTGAGGAGTGAGTGAGTAGTGAGTGAGGAGTGAGTGAGTGAGTGAGTGAGTGAGTGAGTGAGTGAGTGAGTGAGTGAGTGAGGAGTGAGTGAGTGAGTGAGTGAGTGAGTGAGTGAGGAGTGAGTGAGGAGTGAGTGAGTGAGTGAGTGAGGAGTGAGTGAGTGAGTGAGTGAGTGAGTGAGTGAGTAGTGAGTGAGTGAGGAGTGAGTGAGTAGTGAGTGAGTGTTCCCACAGTTCTCTTCCCCCTCATTTGGTGGTCTGGACCTATTCTGAGCACACGAATGGCTTGCTGAGAGCCCCTTGTGCTGTTCTGAAGGAGTTCTCCAAGCAGACTGCTTTCCAGCCGTCATCCCTCGTCTTTTACTCTCGGCAAAGCTGTGGTGGCGCCCTGAAGAAACCTGCAGAAGAAATGCTGGCCCGGTTCTCACTTAGCCGGGCTCCCGAGCGTGGCACTAAAGGTCAGTGCTTCACTCCTGTGGAACCCCAGCCCTCTTCTGCATTCGCTTCCCTCTTCTTTCCAGTCCTCTAATCCGATAGACCGTGTGGGGAGAGGCAAGAGAGGGCGGGGGAGGAGTGTGTGATGTAACCTGTGACCCCGGTGGAGTTCCGCGACAGCCCCGCGGTGCCTGCGGCTCACGGTGGGGTTTTGGTGCCGCCGCTGGGAGACTGAAGAGGAGGCATGAAGATCCACCAGGGCTGTGGGAGACCTAGCCCGTAACTCACCTCTCTTGTGGAGAGGAAAGCTGAGCCCAGGCTGCAGCTCCTTGTCTTGCCGGCCCTACCTGCGCCGCGGCCGGCTGGGGACACCTCTGGAGAAAGGGATGCTCGGAGGCGGCTGCGCTGCTGCGGTGAGTCTGCTCCTCCTTCCTGGCTTTTCCCGGCGGTTTGGGGGGACAAGGAAGGGAAGCGGAGTGAGCTGGAATGCGTGTGGATTTTTTGGGGGCATATAAGCGTGTGGAATCCCTGCTGGATTGACTCTGAGCCAGTTGATAATCACCGACTAATCTGGGCGCTGGCAGAGTCCACCCGGATTACGAGCGCATGTGGCTGCGTGTCAAGATGGGTGTGACACCTCCCAGGGGTCTCGGGTTGTGTGTCAGAGGGTCACCCCAAAAAAGGGGTCGACTGCAAAGATCAACCGCAGGAGAGAAATTTGGGGGTGTCTGTCACTGACAGGATGTGGGGCGCGGATGTCGCAGTCTGTGAGGAGGAGTCAAAGGAGAAAACGTGCTTTTCTCAATGCCAGCAGGAGACCAAACTGGGAGGAAGCTGGTCCTGTATATCTGCTAATGGATCAGGTAGCACTAGCTGTTGAAAGTAACTGCAGAAAAGTGTTTTCTAGGAGAACTTCCAAGAGCCATTGAAAGCATCACCTTGCTAAGGGAAAGAAGTGAAGAGGAAGATCATCATAATATGTATGAGTATTCTACTTTATCTACTATGTTCCAGAATCTATACAAGATAAAGTTAATGTATAAACTGGGGCCTCAGAAAGCCAAATAACACCTCTGGAGCTGTGCTGAATGAATCCCTAGCTGCCTTCCAGCACTGGGAATATCCAATAATACCTGCAGAAGGATGCAGTTATGAAACCTGGTGTGTGTCCTCACGTGAATGTTGTGCACACACTGCTTTAGGAAAAAATGCCACATGACTGATTTCCCAATGGTACTGGCAGTTCCCTCCTGGCTCTGGCAGATCACATGCAGCTGCTCAGAGCATTTTTTTAAAATTTTTTTTAGAAGTGAAACCTCCATCAAATATCAAAATCTGGAAATTGAACAAGTTATTTAAATTTATAAATAAATAAAACCTGGAAGTTAAATAGCTAATCATTGCAAGGGGTGGGCAAGTATAATGATTGCATCCCTCCTAGGTTTGGTTTTCATGATACCTCTATTTATGCAGA